GAAAAATGAAATTGGATCATTTCCTTACACCACACATGAAAATAGACTCAAAATGGATGAAGGACCTCAATGTGAGAAAGGATTCCATCAAAATCCTTGAGAACACAGGCAGCAACCTCTTCGACCTCAGCCGCAGCAACGTCTTCCTAGGAACATCGCCAAAGGCAAAGGAAGCAAGGGCAAAAATGAACTATTGGGATTTTATCAAGATCAAAGCTTTTGCACAGCAAAGGAAACAGTTAACAAAACCAAAAGACAACTGACAGAATGGGAGAAGATATTTGCAAACGACATATCAGATAAAGGGCTAGTGTCCAAAACCTATAAAGAACTTAGCAAACTCAACACCCAAAGAACAAATAATCCAATCAAGAAATGGGCAGAAGACATGAACAGACATTTCTGCAAAGAAGACATCCAGATGGCCAACAGACACATGAAAAAGTGCTCCATATCACTCGGCATCAGGGAATTACAAATCTAAACCACAATGAGATACCACCTCACACCAGTCAGAATGGCTAAAATTAACAAGTCAGGAAATGACAGATGCTGGCAAGGATGCGGAGAAAGGGGAACCCTCCTACACTGTTGGTGGGAATGCAAGCTGGTGCAACCACTCTGGAAAACAGCATGGAGGTTCCTCAAAATGTTGAAAAGAGAACTACCCTATGACCCAGCAATTGCACTGCTGGGTATTTACCCTAAAGATACAAACATAGTGATCCGAAGGGGCACGTGCACCCGAATGTTTATAGCAGCAATGTTTACAATAGCCAAACTATGGAAAGAACCAGATGTCCATCAACAGAGGAATGGATAAAGAAGATGTGGTATATATACACAATGGAATACTATGCAGCCATCAGAAGAAATGAAATCTTGCCATTTGCGACGAAGTGGATGGAATTAGAGGGTATCATGCTTAGCGAAATAAGTCAATCAGAGAAAGACAACCATAATATGATCTCCCTGATATGAAGGACAGGAGATGCAACATGGGGGGTTAAGGGGGTAGGAGAAGAGTAAATGAAAGGAGATGGGATTGGGAGGGAGACAAACCATAAGTGACTCAATCTCACAAAACAAACTGAGGGTTGGTGGGGGGAGGGGGGTTGGGAGGGGGGGGTTATGGACATTGGGGAGGGTATGTGCTATGGTGAGTGCTGTGAAGTGTGTAAACCTGGCAATTCACAGACCTGTACCCCTGGGGATAAAAATATATTATATGTTTATAAAAAATAAAATAAAAAAAAAAATAAATGGGCACAGAGTTTTAGTATGGGATAAGGAAAAGTCTGGAGAGGGACAGTGGTAATAAAACAATTCTGTGAGATTCAAAGAATTTTAATAGGGATAGATGGCTAATTGACAATAAACACAGGGTTTAAACTTGGTAGTGTTGACTCCAAAACCCATGATCTTTTTCTGATACCAGGTTAGAGTTAGTTACCTAATAAACTGTTTCATTTTTGAGTGTCTGAATTTGGGGGTCTTCCTTTTTTTTTTTTAACTTTGTGTATTTTATTTTTATTTTCTTATTTAGTCCAATCAGCCAACATATAAGTGTTCATCATTGGTTTTTACATAGTGCTCAGTGATTCATTAGTTGTGTATAACATCCAGTGCTCATCAGATCATGTGCTTTCCTTAATACCCATCACCCAATTACCCCATCCCCCCACCACCCTCCCTTCTGAAACCCTTAATTTATTTCCTGGAATCCAGAGTCTCTCATGGTTTGTCTCCCTCTCGGATTTCTTCCCACTCAGGTTTACCTCCCTACCCTCCCTCCTATTGTCCTCTGCCTGATTCCTTATATTCCACATATTAATGAAACCATGTAATAGTCTTTCTCTGCTTGACTTATTTCACTTAGCATAATATCCTCCAGTTCCATCCATGTCAATGCAAATAACAGGTATTCATCCTTTCTGATGGCTGAGTAATATTCCATTGTATATATGAGCCACATCTTCTTTATCCATTCATCTGTTGAAGGACATCTCATCTCCTTCCACAGTTTGGCTATTGTGGACATTGCTGCTAGGAACATTAGGGTGCAGTTGCCCCTTCTTTTCACTATGTCTGTATCTTTGGGGTAAATACCCAGTAGTACAATTGCTGGGTCATAGGGTATCTCTATTTTTAACATCTTGAGGAACCTCCATACTGTTTTCCAGAGTAGCTGTAACAGCTTGCAGTGTAAGAGGGTTTCCCTTTCTCCACATCCTTGCCAACATTTGTTGTTCCCGGTCTTGTTAATTTTTGTCATTTTAACTGGTGTAAGGTGGTATCTCATTGTGATTTCGATTTGTATTTCCCTGATGGCAAGTAATGTGGAACACTTTTTCGTGTGCCTATTAGCAATGTGTATGTCTTTGGAGAAGTGTCTGTTCATGTCTTCTGCCCATTTCTTGACTAGATCATTTGATTTTTGGGTGTTGAGTTTGGTAAGTTCTTTATAGAGCTTGGTTATCAGCCCTTTATCTGTTATGTCATTTGCAAATATCTCCCATTCTGTAGATTGCCTTTTGGTTTTATATACTATTTCCTTTGCTGTACAGAAGCTTTTTATCTTGATGAAGTCCCAAGAGTTCATTTTTGCCTTTGTTTCCCTTGCCTTTAGAGAGACGTTGCTCTGGCCGAGGTCCAAGAGGTTACTTTCTGTACTCTCCTCTAGGATTCTGATGGATCCCTGTCTCACATTTAGGTCTTTCATCTGTTTAGAGTTTATCTTTGTGTATGGTTTAAGAGAATGGTCCAGTTTCATTGTTCTGCATGCAGCTCTCCAATTTTCCCAGCACCATTTATTGAAGAAGTTGTCTTTTTCACTGGATATTCTTTCCTGCTTTGTCAAAGATTAGCTGACCATGGTCTGGGCTGTTCTGACCAATGATCTATGTGTCTGTTTTGTGCCAGTACCATGCTATCTTGATGATCACAGCTTTGCTATGTAGCTTGAAGTCAGGCACTGTGATACCTTCAGATTCGGTTTTCTTTTTCAATATTCCCCTGGTGATTCAGGGTCTTTTCTTGAGTCTTCCTTTAAAGAGTGTTCAGCATTATTTCGACAGGCAGTTAAGCTCTCTGCAGATCAACTTTTAAGAACTGTTTTTAAGCTCTGTTGGTGAGGGCTATGGTAGCCTTTAATCTAGGTCTACCCTAGCCTTAATAGTAAAGGCATGATCTTTCTAGGTTCTCTACTGAATGTCCAAAATGTTCCAACAATGTCTCTTCCTGTGTCCGATCAGAACACTGCAATCTCTTAATTCTTTGTTACCTCTAAGAATTGTTTAGCTTATAGTGTCCTGATATTTGTGCTGTTCCCCAGTAATTGTTCTTTGCCTAACCTCTTGAAATCTCTATATTTGCACAGCTTAGTATTCAGCTAAAGACTCAATGGTACACTGTGTAGACATTAGAGTTCTCTCTCTGGGTACTACCCTTCTCTCTGATATTATGCCCCACAAATTCTAGTGACTGTAGCCTCTATAAATCCTGATCTCTGTCTCCTCAACCCCAAGACCACCATGCTCTGCTTAGAACCTCCTTCCATGTGCCATGATCCAGAAGGTTTTTCTAGGCTGAAAACCAGGACCATATTAAGACTGTTTCCCACTTCCTGGTAATCAAAATGCTTCACTCAGTTGTCCAAGTTTTGAAAACCAATGTTTCACAGATTTTTGTCCAGTTTTTTATTTATGATGGGAGTGCAAGTGCAAATTCAAAAACATTATTCCGTCATGGCTGGGAATATAATTGCTCTTTCCAATTCCTTTCTTAAGGGAGTGATACTGAAATATCCTTATGGTATTAATTTTTCTCCAATCGTGAAAGTTAAAAATCATAAAAGTTTTAAACATTACTATCTCTGTGTCAAGTCACCTTAATTTTATGCTGTATTTCCTAAAAATCAACTTTATTTAGAAATATATAAGGGGGGCCTGGGTGGCTCAGTGGGTTAAGCCTCTGCCTTCGGCTCAGGTCATGATCCCAGGGTCCTAGGATGGAGCCCCACATTGGGCTCTCTGCTCGGCAGGAAGCCTGCTTCCCCTGCCCTCTCTCTGCCTGCCTCTCTGCCTACTTGTGATCTGTCAAATAAATAAAATCTTAAAAAAATATATTTTTTTTCCTCAATTTACAGCCATGCTAAGATAAACAATTAGTCATGAAAATGGAATTCCATTCCGTACTTATGCACACTTTATTTAATCTGAATTCCATAAAACATTCCTTTATAAGTAGGAAGAGGTGTTTGTTTTTTTTGTTTGTTTTACAATGGCTTACAACACAACTGATTCTTTTACAATTCTGGTGGTCAGAAGTCTAAAATCAAGGTGTTGGAAAGGCTATGTTCTGGAATCTTCAGGGAGGAATCATATCTTGCCTTCTCTAACTTCTACAGGACAACTGCATTCTGTGGCCAGTGGCCTCTTCCTCCATCTTCAAAGGACATTTTCCTAACATCTGGTTCCATGGTTACCTCTCCTTTTCTCTCACTTTTTCTCAGCATATTAATTCCTTCTTGTAAAAACCCTTGTGATTATATTGGTCCCACCCAGACAACCTAGCATAATCTCCCCACCTGAAGATTCCTAATTTAATCAGATTTGCAAAGTCCCGTTTGCCACATAAGGTAACATATTCACAGGTTCTTGAGATGAGAATGTGAACATCTTTGGAAGGCCATTATTCTACCTATCGCAATAATGTTAGCACCTGCTTTGTTTCCAACACTAACCTGATCTCTAGGAAATCAGAGATAAATGAACACGGCCCCTCCCTCTTTCTGAGCTGAACTGCAGGCCAAAGGAAAGATTTAGTTCTTATAAAATGTAAAGGTTTTTCTTATAATGATTAAAAAGCAAAATAATTAGGACAACCATAAATAATTAATAGAAGAATCAACTAGGTCTTACAATGGGGTAGATGAAATTTATTTTTATGAATAGAAGATTAAAAGAGGGTAAGGAATAGGAGACAAAATTATAATTTACCTCTTATTTGCCTGTCAACAACTCTCATTTCCTTTCTTATCTTCAATGACCATTCATTGACCTGGGAAAAATTTTAGAAAAAAATTGTAAGAAAAGCCAACACTCCTAATTCACCAAATTTTAAAGAATTTTAGAATTCTACATTTATTCTAGACAAAAAAATAAATAAATCCATTTCAAACAAAAGCTTTAGGGCCAAATTCTATTTTTTTAATCTTTTTATTCACAGTACAGAAGTTCCAATTTATTTAAAAATTCTTATCTGAAGGCAGGCAGTAAGAAGTACTTTATACAAGACCTCAGAGAGAGTTCAGGACCCTGTAGGTACATAAACATTTTTCAGGAGGTGCACAGGCATAGTAAAAAGTGATTTTTAAAAGGTGAAAATCTTTCATTGGGGAGGGTATGCGTTATAGTGAGTGCTATGAATTGTGTTAAGACTGATGATTCACAGACCTGTACCCCTGAAGCAAGTAATACATTACACGTTAATAAAAAAATTAAAAAATAAAAGTTGAAACATCTTTTGAAACCTATTTCAAAACCTGTTCTTCCTGTGTCAAGAGTTCACCTTTTCCTTCCTCTTTTCAACAATAATGCTTCTTCATTTTACAAAGGACAGAAATTCCTCTGACCTATGTCTATTATAATGATATATTTCCCTTAGAGGCAAAAACATCTAAAGCACTAAACATAGAGCCAAATGGAAATAACAATGTGGGTGTTGAAAAAGCACTGAACTACTCTAATGTCTATCGAATTCTTATGCAACTGAAGTGTTTTCTAATTCTTCAGTTTCAAAAGAAATTGAAGGAAAATCAGAGTTGTCAGCTGATAATCATTAAAATCAAATTTACATTAAATAACTACATGCCCTTTGCCACAGGACACAGAATTTCAAAGAACTTAGCGACAATGACATAATAAAACTTCCATTACTATCGATTTATTTATATTAAGGGCGTTTCTCAACACTGGAGTCTAATAAGACATAAAACAGGGCTTTCTTCCAGTTGTGGCAGCTTGTGATGAGGATCTCCTGTCTGTGCCCACAGCCATGCAGTCCACAGACTTTCTACAGTTGGTGCAGGTCTTTGGAGGCAGGAAGATGGGCACAGCTATGGCACTCTGCCAAAGGGGTAACAGCCTCATTAGGTGGATGGGCGTTCCCTGGAGATGATCCAACCATGCACAATGCAATCCAAGCTACTGAAACCTCTTCTGTTTCTGGGCAAGGAGTGATTAGCTGGCATGGAACCCTCAGACTATGAAGGGTGGTGGTCATAAGACACAGATTCACACATTCAGTCCACCTCCAAGCCAGGGAGGCCTGTTACCAGAAATAGGTGGTTAGGCTTCCAAGAAGATTAAAGACCTCTTCATCTAGTATGACTAGATGCTGCTGGTGGCTGACCCCCATCACTGCAAATCCAAAAAGTTTGCCTGTGATCACTACCAGAAATCGAACCAGTAAGCCCATCAGGAGAATCAGGATTCACCTTTACAAAAAGCAATGACTGGGGCGCCTGGGTGGCTCAGTGGGTTAAGCCTCTGCCTTCAGCTCAGGTCATGATCCCAGGGTCCTGGGATTGAGCCCCGCATCAGGCTCTCTGCTCAGCAGGGAGCCTGCCTCCCCCTCTCTCTCTGCCTGCCTGTGATCTCTGTCTGTCAAATAAATAAATAAAATCTTAAAAAAAAAAAAAAAAAAAAAAAAGCAATGACTGCGGGATTTAAACTTACAAATAATGAAACAGGAATAGAATTGATGCTGAACCTTGTAGCCTTCATCCATGGGGACTTATCTAAACAGCATTAAAAATTTTATAAAAATATTGGGACACCTTTGGCTCAGGTCATGATCCCGGGGTCCTGGGATTGAGTCCCACATCAGGCTCCTTGCTCAGTGAGGAGCCTGCTTCTCCTTCTGACTGCTCTAAATAAAATCTTAAAAAAAAAAAAAAAAATCTATACAATTAAGAGAACGTATACTTCCAATAAATTTCACTTTTTAATGATTTCATTAAAATCATTATTTAACAAAATCTATAAAAAATTTTGCAAAAGCTGTAGTAACTCCAACCAGAAGAAATATTAAGGTACTTAAAATTACATGGATATGTGATTTTTAGAATTTTAACATTAGGTTTATATATTTCTTAAAGTAAAATTCATATAACATAAAAATAACCATTTCAAAATATACAATTCAATGGCATTTAATGACTTCATAATGTTGTAGAATCATCAACTCTCCCTAGTCTCAAAAACTTATTAACACATCAGAAGAACACACTATACTGTAGTATACTGTAGTGTTTTGGGAGTTCATCCATGTTGTGGCATGTATAAATACTTCAGTCCTTTTCATGGCTGAATAATATTTGTTATACTTATACAACACAACTTGTTCATTCATACATCCTTTGATGGACCTCTGGATTGTTTCCATCTTTTAGTTACTGTGAATAGTGCTGCTATGAACACTTGTATACAAGTATTTACTTGAATTCCTATTTTTGATTCTTTGGAATATGTATCCAGTAGGAGCAGAATTGCTGGGTCATATGGTGATTCTATGTTTATCTTTTCAAAGAACTCCAAAACTATTTTACAAAGAAGTTTCACCATTTTACATTCCCTCCAGGAATGTTCAAGGGTTCTTATTTCTCTACATCCTTGCCAATACGGTTAGCCTCCAATTTTTTAATAACAGTCAACCTGCTGGACGAAATGAAGCAGTTATTTCATTATGGTTTTGATTTGCATTTCCTTAAAGATCAATGAAGTTAAATATCTTTTCATGTGCTTGTTGGCCACTGGAACATATTTTTTGGAGAAATGTCTATTCACGTCTATTCATTTTTAATTGTCTTTTTGTTGCTGGCTGTATGAGTTCTTTATACATTCTAATAGAACCTTATCAGATGTAACATTTACAAATAAATTCTCCCATTCTATAAGTTATCTTCACATTCTTGATCATGTCCTTAAGATGCACAAAAGCTTTAATTTTGATGATTTTCAATTTGCCTATTTTTTCTTTTGGTGCTCATGCTTCTGATGTCATAGTTAAGAATCCACTGCCAGATAGGAGGTCATGAAGATTTGCCCCTATATTTTTATCTAAGACTTTTATAGCTTAATAAGGGTTTTAATTTCTGTATATGGAATGATGTAGGGGTCGAGCTTCACTCCTCTGAATATCCACTTATCCCAGCACTATTTGTTGAAGAAGACTACCCTTCCACTATTAAATGATCTTAGCACCCTTGCAGAAAATTAACTGGCTATACATGTATGGGTTTGCTTCTAAACACAATTTTATTCCTTTAGTCTATACATCTATCCTTATGCCAATACCACACTCTTAACATTACCATAGCTTCACAGTAACTTTTGAAATCAGGAACTGTGAGTCCTCCAAATTTTTTTCTTTTTCAGGGTTGTTTTGGCTATTCAGGGCCAGCTGTATTCCATATGACGTCGGAGGTCAACTATTTATTTTGGAATTTTGATAGGCATTGTACTGAATCTGCAAGGCATTGTACTGAATCTGCAGACTACTTTGGGTGGTACTGACATCATAACAGCATTAAGTTTCACAATCCATGAATGTGAAATTTTTTCCAGCAATATATTGTAATTTTCAGTGTACAAGTGATCTGCTTCCTTGGTTAAATTCTTTCCTCGGTATTTTGTTCTTCTAGATACCCTTGTAAATGATTTTATTTCCTTTTTAGATTTTTCACTGGTGTGAAAAACAATGAATACTTTATGCTTGTCTTAAAACCTGTCAATTTGCTGAATTCACTTATAAGTATTAGTGAGGATTCTTTGGAGTTTTCTATATATGGAATCATGCCATCTGCAAAGAGATAGTTTCACTTTTTCCTTTTCAATGTGGGTATCTTTTATTTCTTTTTCTTGCCCAAGTGCTCTGGCTAGAACTTCTAGTACAATATTGAATAGTAGTGGCAAAACCAGGTTATCTTTGTCTTGTTCCTGATCTTAGAAAAAAAGCTTTAGTTTTTCACAATTCACTATAAAATTAGCTGTGGTTTTCATAAATGCCCTTTATCATGTTAAGAAAATTCCCTTCTATTCTTAGTTTGCTGAGTGTTTTTATCACAAAAGGTATATATGTATTTTGTTTCAAGTCTAATAGGATGACTGTTTTATTTCAAGCATAAAAGTGCTACATTAAGAGAAACCCATATGGTAAAAAACAGAATGGAAGTAAATGGCATTTCTCCTTTCAAGAAGAAAGAATAATTTAAAATGTCTGACTATAAATAAGAATGTGTGCATGTATGTTTTAAATGAATATTGATGGGGGTCACATTCCTGTGATACTTTTAAGAGAGTGATGTATGGGGCGCCTGGGTGGCTCAGTGGGTTGAGCCGCTGCCTTCGGCTCAGGTCATGATCTCAGAGTCCTGGGATCGAGCCCCGCATCAGGCTCTCTGCTCTCTAGGGGAGCCTGCTTCCTCCTCTCTCTCTGCCTGCTTGTGATCTCTCTGTCAAATAAATAAATAAATAAAATCTTTAAAAAAAAAAAAGAGTGATGTAATAATTTTATAATATTTACAATATGCCAAAAATTACAACCTGTACAACTCTACTTAAAACCTCATTATGATAAAAAAATTAAATGATGATTTACAACTATTCAAAAGGGCACACAAGTAGTCAAAATTATTTCAGGAGATATATGAAAAAATTTGAAAACACTGTTATAATCTAACCAGAACTTTCAGAATCAGCAGAAAAGGAAATTCAAGTCTCACAATTCAAATGTTCACTGAGCTCAATGTGCTACTGATGCAGCAGGAAACAAAGATTCTACCTTATGAACTTACATTCTAAGGAAACAAAGACAGTAAGTAAATAAACAAGGAAATACTCTGTCACAAAATGAGTGCTAGGGAGAAAATGAAGCAAGGAAAATAGGATGAGGGCAGTTGTTGAGGGGAGGTTCGCAATTTCATACAGGGTGGTGGAAGAAAGCTCAACAGCTAAGGTGACTTTTGAGCAGACTTCGAAAAATTTGCAAGGAAACCA